ACCTCAGCTCTACTTATGATTAATCATAGAAATCAACCAAGATATTTAATAGCAAATGAAGGATACTTTAGGAACAACTGATTTAAAATTCCAAGGGAGGTCCCAACCTCAGGACAGAAGTAACTCACAAGGCATCATATTGTTTTAGAGAACTTTCACTATTCTAGACATTTGAGTTACGAGAAGAAAAAATTCATCTCCTTTTACGTTAGGATTCATAGCTCTCACTCCATGTAGAGAGAATTTATATATCAAATCCTAAATTTTTTAGAAAAATACCAAGTCCCAGAACAAGATTTTATGAAATAAAATGTACATTAAAAAAGCAGCAAAAGAAAAAAATCATTTAATTTGTGCTCTCTTTAGGTTTTATTGCTTAACCTACGCTAGTACCAAAAAGAAAGGAAGTAAGAAGTCCAGTTTCATTATAGTTATAGTCACAGCAATCCCAGCAGGAGCATGCATAAAATGAATAAAGAAGCCACAAATGAAATGCCTGTGTACCCCGGGAGTAATTGCTCAGTCAAAATGTTCCAACGGCAGTTTGCCAAATAAAAGGACACACTGGGAATCCAAAAGCTTAAACCAACATTTTACTACAATTATTGGCTTTTGTCCACACTTCTCCCATCCTTTTACCTAAGTTATAGTTGAATTACTACATCTAAATCAGACATTAGTTTCCTGTACATTACAAAATACTGTGACTGATGAGAAATAGGAGAAAGGCTTGCAAAATACATCTCTTACTTATTTAGAGTGAGAACAGCATGAGGCCAGCTTCCAACAATTACCATCTGGTGAACCTGGACCAATCACTCAACCTCTGTGGATGGAATATATATATAAAGTGAGTTTTAAAAATAATACCTGATTAACTAGAGTGTATAAGCAAGCTTTCATATATTTACTACACCAGCTGCTTATGCATATTTGTGCCTATTTTTAATATATTACATTTGCATATTTTTTGCTTATAGGGGTTCTTTATATATTCTGGATGCTTAACCTCTGTTGGATAAATGCCAATCTTTCCATGTATATGGACTGACTCTTCTGTAAATTGTCCATCATTTGTACAGTTCTTTAAAATGACATTTCTTCTCTTCACTAATGTTCAGGAAAGCTAAATGGAAGCTAATCATTTTTCTCTTAATGGGTTTCTTGCTTCTGCCAATCTGTGCCTTGATTTTACATTTTGTAATTAATATTTTTTAATTGGATGATGCATACACATCCACAGTTTTCTACTTTTATAACTTAAGTATTTAACAGACTGAAATATGACAGCTATAAAAATAATCATCATAATGACAACAGTACCTGCCATAACTACCTCATAGAACCACTGCCATCAGTTGAATGATGGAATATATTTTGCAAACTATAACATGTAACTATATACTATAGTAGAAACTATAATAGAAAATCTCACAGAAAAGTCACTCACAACTCTACCTGTAAAGATGTTTGAAAATGACTCCTTTGCAAACAATCAAAATTCTTGTTTAATAATAATCTGAAAGTCCTCAGGAATCACCTCCAACCTTAATTTATGGCACCCCAATGACAGATCTGTTCTATCCAGGGATTCCCTATTGGAACCTCCTCTATAAAAATGTCAGTTCTAATGGATTACATCCTCCATCCTACTATTTCACAAGATGAGAGGGGAGTTTTAAAAGTCTATGTTAAATTCCCTTCTGAAAATGACTATTACATATAAGGCTGACTTGCAAGGCACATCACAAATACACTCTTAGGACTTACTGTTCATTAAGAATAAGAAAATATCTGCCCTTTATAGTGTATTTATTTCATCAGCCTCACACTTGTATGTGTACTTAGTAACATTTTATGCAGTTCTCTACATAATTTACATCTTCCTCATTTATACAAGCCCCTTTAATCACGTGACCCAGATTAACATAGTCCTTACAACTGGAACTGCAAGGATTTAAAAAGATTTCACATATAATTTCAAGAAGGTCAAAATTTTACATATTGGCTCCTCAAGATAAAGCAAGTCAGAAAATAACCAGTGCAGAATGGGATATCCCAAAAGATATCCATGTTCTAATCCCCAGAATCTGTGAATAGGTCCCATGGCAATGGAGACTTCACAGATGTGATTAAGGTTAAAGACCTTGAGCTGGGCAAAGTGTCCTGAATTATCCAGGTGGAATCAATCTAATCACAGCAGTCCTTAAAAGAGGGAGGAGGCAGCAGAAGGGTGGGTCAGAGATGTGACACATTGTCCCCAGTTTTGAAGACAGAGGAAAAGGGCAACAAGTCTTGTGGCAGCTTCTAGGAGCTGGGAAAGGCAGGGAAATGGACTCTTCCGTAGAGCCTCCAGAAGGAACACAGCCATGCCAACACCTTGATTTAAGCCCAGTGAAACCCACACTGGACTTCTAACCTACGAATCTCTAAGACGATAAATTTATGTTGTCGTAATTTGTCGTGGCAACCAGAAAAATCTAATACTCAGAGCATATCTAGCTTTTTTTGCAGGAAAACAAACTGGTTAGAAGAGCATATTCTGGGAGGACCCAGCTCCTTACTGGAAATCACAGCCCTACTGGCTTGCCAACTGTGTCAATTTAAACCAATTATTAACACCCTAGGCCCCGGTTTTCTCATCTGTTAGAATGGAGCTGTTAGAATAGTATCTACCTACAAAGATTGTTAAAGGACTGACCTCATTCATGCAAGGCACTTAAAATGTTGTTTTACATAGAGTAGGGCACTACACTCATCTTTAAGTACTCCTAGTACACATTTCAATTGGTAGTATCTCAACCACCTGCTCTTTTGTTCACCCACAGAAAAATCAGAAGATCAACAGTCTTAAACAGTTGAAGAAAGGAGCCTTTCTAAAGAGAAAGGTTTGTGGCATATGTACAAGCAGTCCCCATAATGGTCCCAGCTCTGCTGACCCACAATGCAGCTCTTCAGGAGTCATCCCACTAATGATGGAACAGACTGCTAGAGAGCAAGTCTCACCGTGAACTCCACTAAGTGAGAAACGCTAACTACAGGGCCTGACAGAAAACTGCCCATCAAAGAGTAGGCTGTCTTATTAAAAATAATAGATGTAGCAAAATTAGTTTCTACTGAAATTTGCCATAATTAGCATTTTGTCAACTTACTTGGTACTTCAGTGCTTTTCATTTGCAGAATGCCTCCCCTATCATTTCTTCATAACCAGTTCAAATTTTTATTTCACTTGGCCATCGACTTGGCAACATTTATTTAAATTGATATAACCAGACTAAGCAATGATGGTTCAGACTATAAAAATACGAAGATATAAAAACTGATAATTTTTCCTCAAGGAAGAGGTAAATTACAAATCAAAAGTGTAAATATATATGGGTTTCACAATTCCATTTTCTACAAAGCTTGAAGCAGTGCCAAAACTCAAAGAATAGCAACACTATGTCAGCAAGAGGGAGAAAACAAAACTTTTCAGCTCCAGGGAGAAGCTTGAGTACAAACCTTGTAAAGTGTCATAATAAATAAATGTAAGTATTCTGAGGGGTTTAAAAAAAAATCAGTAAGTAGACTAACAGTAAAATTATAGAACAACTTCTACACTTTTCCTACAGTAAAAGCAATAAATTTCAAGATTCCCAGCCTAAATAACCCTAAAACTTAATAAAATGATATTTTAAAAGGTAATTAAATATGCCCCAGCAACAACAATATACAGTTAGGCTCTCAAAAGAAACACTCTCAATTAGTTACACAAAATGTATTGATTGACTCCAAAATGATTTTTCTACCTTTCCACCTTTTCATTATTTCAAGCTCTACAGGACTACAGAACTAGAAAGAACTAGAAGAGCTAATTTATACCTGCAAAGCCAACAATAATCGACATTACTCATTCTTTAGAAGGTATTGAGGACTTTAGCTATGACATGAAAGCACCTGTGGGATATCTCACAAAAAAATCCCATCTCCTTCTCCTCAACCCAGAACTGCAATAGTTGAAGGTTCTTCGCAGAGGCCCAGAGACAATATGGGCCAAGCTCAACTGAACCCTCCAACAGGGCAGGTCTGAGCCATTCCAGAAATCCCCTAAATCAAATCCCCTAAATTCAAAGCATATCCTCCTTCTCCAACTTTAAATACAGGCCAAAATGGCTCTTATTCAACAGAATAGTGTGTAGCCCAAGAAGAAACATGGCTAGTTTGTGGATATAACCTCAAAGTACATTATGCGTGTGTGCATGCACCTAGTGCACCCATATGCATTCACATATTGATGTGGGCAAGGCACTGTAAGATACAAGGTATCAGGATAAAAGACACAGGATACAGAACACACACACAGAAGCTCTCAAGGACCAGAAAGAAATGTAAGGAGCAGTAGCTGGGTGACAGCTGACAGAAATAACAGAGGTATAGGGAAAAAAACAAAACAAAACCAACTCCATGCATAAAAAGCATTCAAATTCCACTACAGGGGATCCCTGGGTGGCTCAGTGGTTTAGCGCCTGCCTTTGGCCCAAGGCGCGATCCTGGAGTCCCGAGATCGAGTCCCACATCGGGCTCCCGGCATGGAGCCTGCTTCTCCCTCCTCGTGTGTCTCTGCCTCTCTCTCTCTCTATGTCTATCATGAATGAATGAATGAATGAATGAATGAATGAATGAATGAATGAATGAATCTTTAAACAAAACAAAACAAATTCCACTACCAAAAAAAGATACAGTGCTAGTCAAATAAAGCATAAGGGCATCTGGATTCAGGAGACAGGCCAGATTCCGAGGCCAGTTTTCAAAGCTGATAATGCAACAGGCCCAACCAATCATCTCCTATCTTATTCTGAGGGTGGCAAAGAGCTCATCAGAGGCTCTAAGGCACTAACCCAGGACTTCCTGGCCCTGATCCCCACCCGCCCCCCACCCCCGGGCCACCAGAGTTCCCCAGGTCTTTGCCTAGGAACTGCAGCATTATGAAAAGGTGAGTGGCTAAAGAATTAAATACTTACCACTTGAGCTTCCAGGAGTAGAATACTGAGAGGTATCAAGGAATTTTCGAGGAGTAGGAAGGTTTGTAACATCAATCAGAGGAACAGGAGAAGCATCTTTTATAAGAGAGCTGAAAGGGAAAGGGAGATGTTTGCTACTTTCTCTCTAAAACCAACTGAAGTCCCACTCCATACTCAATCCTTCTCATTTTCATTTTGTCACAAGCCCTCTGTACACTTTGACTTCTAGTGTCTGTCAAGTTATTTCCAGTAGTGATTGTTACAGAGAGGGGTATAAAGATGTATCCTAAGGGTTTCAAGTATTCAAGTTTTTGTCTTTTTATTGCAATGCTAGGTCTAAAAACGTCAGCATGATCATCTGGATAACTACCTTATCACCAAATTATGCTATGAAATTTCAACACCCTCCTTTGTTCCTATATTAAAATTAAATTTACAGCAAAAAAGATCAAATGTCACCATTTCATGATAACTGAATGAAGGTTTAAGCAGTTAGGCCTTGTCTAAAACACTTCTGTTTTTCAAGCTGGAGTTTTTGATATATTCTGGGAGTTCGCTAAACTTAGTTTTCTTCAAGAGGTTCATAAATTTCATAAAGTTGAGAATCACAACAATAAAAGATGATTTAAGGAACTCAAACAGGTTAATTCAGTACTTGATTACTCATTTCACCTTTCCCAAAAAGGCCTAGTACCTCATCTTAATGATTAACTTTAGCATCTCCAGAATAAACACATTAATTTTAAATGACAAAAAGACTATAAAAAACAATTAAATTTTCACGTTAATTCGCATTTATAGCCATCTGCTAAGTGAAACAAGCAGGCAATTCCAAGGCAAGTAAAAACTATGCTCTACTCTCAAGAAACCGAATCATCTACAGGGTACCTGGCTGGCTCAATGGGAAGAACATGTGACTCCTGATCCTGGGTCATGAGTTCAAGCCTCACTTTAGGTGTAGAGATGGCTAAAAAAATTAATAAACAAACTTGAAAGAAAGAGAGAAAGAAAGAGAATAAAGAAAGAAGTTGAATCATCTAATCACATTGCATCTACAACAGAAAAGCTTCTCTAAGTGCCAAGGGTAGACAGGTCAAAGCAGTAGTTCTCACCTCTTTCCAGTCCCATCAAATCATCGGCAGCAGTGGCAGACTACAGAAGTGATTCTCACAGTGGGTTGTAAAGGGAGAATGGGCAAAGTGGGGGGCGCAGGGACAAGACTCCACCTTAAGGAATGATTTCTCCAAATGGGAAAGACGCTCACCGTTCGAAAATCTGTGCCCACACATCCCACGGTGATCTATCCCCATCTCCCTCCCATCACTCCTTTAGGATCCAAATTGCTAGGTATGTGTGTATTTTTAATCTAATAAACATATGTATGTTCTTTCAGAAAACTGATTAACAGACTTCATGTTAAAGAGCAAAAATCATCATTTAAAGTTTTTTTTTTTTTTAATCAAGTGCTAATAATATCTGAGTTACTGACCCAGGCCTTGAGGTTAACAGATAGTTATCAAGTTTCCCCTTCTCTCTTACTACAAGGAAGAAGGAATCATGATTCAGACAAGTCTTCAGGGCTCAGTGCTGAGGATAAATACTTATTAATTTATTATCAAGGACAACTACTATACGAGCAAAACCAAACTTAGCCCTATTTCCAACTGTTGGAATCACTCGTAGACTCATGGGAAACCTCAAGTATAAGATATAAAAGTAACAAAAGTAACACCTGGAATTAAACTGACATAGTTCTCATAAACCTTCTTCTCCAATATAAGACTGGTTAGTTCCTATTTACCTAAATCTTAAGAAACAGAGCCTTCAAATCCACTGATTCACCACAATAGTTTGTCTACTTATAAAATCAGTTAGATCATAGATTTATCTAGTCATCTTTTGCCTACTGACCACTGCCCTCATCTCCATTTTTCCCTCAACTACCTCACCTCATCCTCTGCCCTGCATTTTAGTCAGAACTGCAAAACTAGGTTCACACACCTCTCTAGCCAGGATACACAAACCCAGAGACAGAGGATAACAACTGATGTTTATAGTGCTGCTACTCAGTATTAAGAAAAAGTTCATTTCAATTCTAAATGATAGGAAAAATATATAATACATTTCATAAATATTTCCATAACAAGAATGGAGAAGTTATTTTTAAAGAATTGGTAAATGAAGGTATCAATTAACAGGAAAGTTCAGGTGTATGGCTGCAATACTGCCTGCCATGCCTATAGATGAAGTAGTACAGTTAGTACATATTTGTGTGCAGTGATATGTGTATTTTTATGAATATAATACACACTTCTATAAACACAGATGTGCACAAGCTTCACTTTAGATTAAAACCTACAATTATTTTCTCAATTTTAACCTTAAAATATGTTTCAATTAAATACAGAGTGATAAATGTCTTGCCATTTTAACTTTGAAAAACATAACTTACTGATTTTATTATCAGAGCCAGAAGGGCCCTTAAACTCCATCAATAAACTTTTAGAAAGTCAATTTACTGCGAAACTATTTTCATACACTCATCTCTCTAAAATTTTCCCCTGGGCTTCAATTTTCTCTTTTGTGAACACTAACCCAAAGGCAAGTAACTCTGGAAATTACTTTTGGTTTTTCTCTTATTCCTTTATGAAAGGACTTAGTCTCAAGAATTCAAGAGGAAGTGGGCACACCCACTCATTTAGTTACTACAGACACGAAGCTCAAGAGGAAGGTAGGCGCTATTACAGAAGACAATATTTAAAGAGTGTGCACCTCCATTTCTATTTCTGAAGAAATAAAGCTGAGCAACTAGGAGTACTTCCAAAGGATTCTGAGTGTCTCTGAGGAAGTATTTTTGAAAGTAAAAAATAAAATCAAAATTAGACTATTCTTCTCAAGTTCATAATTAATTTGAGTGCTCTGAACTGCTTTATTTTGAAAGACACACTGGTACAAGTTATTTTTCTCTTTAAACATATATGATTATGAATTTTTATTTTAAATCCATTTAGAGTCATTCACAGCTAAGTTGTTAAAGACAGCTGACGTACATAAAATGCTTTCCAGCATAAGATAGTGCCCCCAAATTACTAATTGCTTATTGTGATTGAATGTTTGCTATTTACTAACCACAGGGTGGCAGACAGGAAAACTATAAAGCAAATTATGCCAGAAACAATCCCTACGACCATAACCCTAAGGACTTCTTGGTCATTAACTATCCATCTAGTAAGGATCTACTTCTATGTGTTTGACTTCAACAGCCATGAACAGTTTGGGTTTTGTCGGGGTTTTTTATGAAGGGTTAGAAGTACTAGCAGCTTATTAAACATTTACTTTTTAATTAGAACTCATTTCTGTTCTTTCACTTAATAATATGTCCAAAATTCACAGGGCAGCTCCCTTGGCCGATTTTATTGTCAAACTAAAACTTGACAGAAGTGAGTTGAACTTTAAGTTGTAAATCTAGTAATGAATAGATTCACCTCTATAACCCCAACAGCTGGCACAGTACCTGGCAAAGAGCAAGTGTTCGTAAAAGTTTGCTAAATCAAACTGAGCTAAGAAATAGCTGTCAAAGATAATATGCCCTTAGTAAGAAAATTTAACTGAATAATGAAACAGGAATGGCTAGATAAGTAATTCTCTGTAGTTCTGAGATCTGCCTGAACATACAGAAAGAATAATGAATGATTCAGAGGGTATAAAAGTCAAAAACAGTCATGGTCTCAAATGACAGATCAAGAGCAAAGACATGTAATACGAAATAAAGTGAAACTAAAATCTAGGAAAAGAGGGAAAAAGAAGAGAAAAAGAACTGAAAGATAAAAAGAAAACTGACACGAAAAAACTTTAGAAGACAAAGTAGGAATAAATAACACAATGGAGTCAAGCATGCTCTTTACATCCCCACAGACAAATATGGACTCCAAAATCTACAGGGCTGAAATTTTCTCCTCCATGAGCCAGAGAGCATCCAAGGAAACAAGGTCAAATCAAGGGTAAACCCAGGATGCATGAAATAAAAGGATTAACTTAAAATAATTTTTATTGATTCTATCAGCCTATAAAGGCATTTTAAGTTTTTAAATATATATATTAAGAAAATAAAAATAATCTAATATATAGTGCCTTCCAACACACTTAACAGAAAAGAGTCTGTCTGCCCGTCCATCCCTGCCCCCTCTATACATACACATGCTCATACACACAAAATGAGCACACTTTCTTTTTCAACATTATTTGGATTATCCTCTATAGAATTTTAAATCCTAGGTATGTAAGTATGTATGTATGTATGTATGTATGTATTTGAGAGAGAGGTATGTATTTATTTATTTGAGAGAGAGACAGATAGTGAGAAAAAAGCAGAGTAGGAAGGAGAGGGAGAAGCAAACTCCCCGCTGAGCAGGGAGCCAGGCTCCTCCTGGCTTGGTCCCAGGACCCTGAGATCATGACCTGAGCAAAAGGCAGATGCTTACCCAACTGAACCACCCAGGCACCCCTAAATCCTTTGTTTTCATTTCAGCAGTAAACATTTTGCCATTTCATTAAAAATATTCTAAGTGTCTGGGTGGCACACTCAGTTAAGTGACCAACTCTTGGTTTCCACTCAGGTCATGATGTCAGGGTTGTGAGATCGAGCCCCGCATCTGGCTCTAAGCTCAGCACAGAGATTGCCAAGGCTTTCTCTCCATCTCTCTTTCTGCCCGTCCCACCTCCCCTTCTCCCTAAAATAAATAATTAAATATTTTATAAAAAATGTAAGATAAAAATAATCTCCAAAAGCATCATCAATAATTGTATTACTATTAAAGTAATAACACATGCTCATGATGAATCCATTCCCAGTTGTGAGGGTATGACAAGTACTTACAAGTAATTCCTTATATCAGTGTCAGCATTATCTTTCCTGGAATTTTCTAGAAACACACATTCATGTCTGCATATAAAGGATACAAATTTAAATACATATCCTGTCAATTCTTACACAAATAGGTTCATCCTATACATATGGTTTTTCAATTGGCTTTTTTTGGACCCAAGAATATATCTTAGAAATCTTTTCCTATCAGCTCAAAGAGATCTGTCTCATTCATTTAAGAATTAC